CAACTCGGTTACCATTTGGCTACGAAATACTGTTCCTCTGTCGCTCAAGAAACAACGTGGTGCTCCATATATCGTAATTACGTTCTCAAAGATGAATTGTGAGACGCTTTTTGCTGAACCGTCTTTGATGGCACCTGCAATGGCGTACCTAGAAACGTATTCTGTACAGACTATTACCATTGTGTTTCCGGATTGAGATTTGGGAAATGGTCCCAAGAGATCTACCGAGAGCATTGACCAAATTGTCCCCACAGGAATCGGTTGTAATAATCCGGCCCCTTTTTTGAAATCTTCGCCTTTYCGAGCTTGGCAATCTGGGCATCCCCTAACAAATTTTTCCACGTCTTTCTGTTGTCCTGTCCAAAAGTATCTTTCCCKAATTTTCTCTAATGTTTTTGTTGTCCCTAAATGTCCGCTTAGTGGATCGCTGTGGTGGTTATACAAGATTTCCCCTATTAACGATTTCGGAATTGCAAGYAGGTGGTCCCTTCCCAWCTCACGCGTGTTCTTCTTATACAGCACTCCGTCCACGATCACGAAATTTTTCGCTCGTCTTCTAGTGCCTATTGGGATGTTAATGTTATTGTTATCGCTATTCTCCGCTGCAGTTATTAAGTCCCTTAATTCATCGTCTTCTAACTGCAATTGCCGCAATACGTCCGATTCCACAAGAAAGGTTGGAATCTCTTGAGATTCAATCTCATCGGCCAGGTTTCCTTCTTCAACAGGATTTCTCGATAAGCAATCGGCGTCCTTATGYTTCGATCCGCTTCGATGAACTACCGTGTATCGGAATTCCGATAACTTTATGGCCCACCGTGCTAGTTTCCCAGTCGGATCTTTGATTGATTTTAGCCAACGAATTGCACTATGGTCTGTGATAATTTTCACRTGTCTGCCGTGTACCAGGTGTCGTAAGTAAGAAAGTGCCCAAACGCATCCTAAACATTCCAGTTCCGTAATTCCCAAATTTTTCTCGTTTTTGGTCAGACTGCGACTAACAAAAGCTATCGGATGGCTTTGTCGGTCATCCCCCTCTTGCAGCAAGACTGCTCCCAGTCCCTGTAAACTAGCGTCTACTCTTAATTCGCAATCTTTGTTTGGGTYGAATCTTCGGAGAACTGGTGTTGTCGTCATTTTTTTCTTTAACTCAATAAAAGCCTGTTCTTGTTTCTCGCCCCACTGAAATTGTACTTTTTCTTTTGTTGCTTCATGCAGAGGACGGGCAATGGCTGAAAAGTTCTTTATAAATTTGCGATAGTAATTGCACATTCCCAAAAATCGTTGAATTTCTTTAACTGATTTTGGCGTAGACATTTTCGCAATACCATCTATTTTCTTTTGATCGACGCTGATGCCTTTAGTGCCCACTTTGAATCCTAATATTTCAATTTCCTTCTGTAAATAGTGACACTTACTGGGTTTTAAGGTTAATCCTGCTTCTCGAAGACGTTGGAAAACTCTTCTGAGTTTTTCGATGTGTTCCTCTACGGTTTTCGAAAAAATGATGATGTCGTCTAAATAGATTAAAATGTCCTTCCACTTCATGTCAGAAAAAAGTTTGTCCATTAGTGCTTGGAAAGTTCCCGGAGCGCAACAAAGACCGAATGGCATAACGTTAAATTGATATTGACCTTGACCCTGAGCAATAAATGCTGTGTATTMMTTGCATTCTTCTTTTACTGCTACTTGCCAATACCCACTTGTCAAATCTAGAGTTGAAAAGTATTGACTATMGTGTCCTATGTAGGTCATTACGTCATCTATGTTGGGAATGGGATAGTTACATTTTTTCGTCACTTCGTTTAATTTCCGATAGTCGACGCAAAACCTCATTTTTCCATCTTTCTTTTTCGTTAACACCACTGGAAATCCCCAAGGACTAGTACTAGGTTCGATAATTTTATGTTCCAACATTTCGTTAATTTGATCATTTATGATCTCTCGTTCTTTGTGTGACACTCTATACGGTTTGCATTTGATGGGTTTAGCTCCTTGCACATCTATTTCGTGTTCCACCAAATTTGTCCTTCCTAATTCCGATGATRAATTCGCAAAAATCTCAGAGAATTCTTRCAACAGCTTAGTCATTCTTTCTTTGTCTGTCTTCGGTAAATTGTTATTTATGTTGTGGTCATCAAGTTTAACGCCKTGTCTTTTCGTGGACGTATACAAGAAAAAATTTTCGGTAATCAGATCTCCTGTCTCTTCTTGTAACCAGCCCAATGTTGTTCCTTTGTAGACACGGATGRCCTGGTTTGCCCTTGAGGTGAGTACTGTTTTACATCGTCCGTCACTGAGTCCTTCTAACGAGCCGATCAGCAACCCTCTGGGTACTAAAAATTTATCATTTTTTACAAATTCTAAGTCCCTTTTGCTGTCGTAGCTAGAATTTATCTCTAAGTTGATWTTTATGTTTCTTCCGGGTCTAAGAATAACATCTGTCTGTGTCGTCACTTTAACCCTCTTGACATCGTCAGCATTTTCCGTCTCCACCTGTAACGCGGTCGTGTTTGTGTCATCACTTCCTGACCTACTTTCCGACATCRTCATTAYTTGTGTCCCCGTTCTAGGAAAATGAATCATTTTCTTCCCGTAATCTATAATTACGTTTTCTTTCTTCAGGAAGGTATTTCCTAAGATAACAGGACTCGGCAATTTATCAACTACAATTGCCTCAAATTTGAATTTACTTCCGCCTAATTGTAACTCTAAATTTGTCCTACCCAAAGTTGGAATTTTATGGTTTCCCACCGTTCTTAAAAATAAACTACCCATATTTGCCCCTTTATGATCTACTATTTCCTTACTCACTAAATTATTACTACATCCCGTGTCAATAATTACATCTAAATTCTTACCCCTATAGTTCCCTGTTACTAACAATACATTGGTTGGCGTCCCGGTTGTGAAAATGTTGTCAACACGGACGACATCCGGACGCACTTCTGACGTCGTCCCTACTCTTTTGGGTACTTTTCCTTATAGGTCTTACCATRGTTCCTATCGTCGCCTTTTTCCCTGTTTCGACAGACAGCCGCGAAATGTCCGGGTTTYCCGCATACAAAGCATTTTTTCGGTTGTGAAACTGGACCTCTTTCGAACTTCTTCTTCTCGCTGTTCCTGCAGACTKATGCAAAATGTCCCGGTTTTCCACAGGAAAAACAGATAGGTCTTCCATCTTTCGTCCTAGTATTTGGGAATTGTTGGCGTCGGTTCTCCCACTTCCGGTTTTCCTCCTTTCCCGTCTGCGATTCGCTTGCTTCTACTTGTTGACGTTGCGATTTACCGGTCATTGTCACGAACGCACTATCAGCTGAAATGTTATTAATTAGAGTCTTTTTCTTCACCTCGCTAATTTTGAAGACTAAATTCTTAATGTCTTTCTTACTCATCTYYGGCGTACTAAACATTAAAAATGTTTCGGCTAGAGGTGGTAACAATCCTTCCTCGAAAAACATCCTAAACGTGGCGTCCGACATTCGAGGGTCGTACTCCTGTTGGAGCGATAGTAATTCGAAATAGTACGATTTGATGTCCTCATTTACGCCCTGTTTTCGGCTTTCAAATTTCATACGGGCGTTTTTCGACGAGTTTCCCCGACCGAATTCTTCCAAAAAATCARACACTAACAACCTCCAAGTTAGAGTTAGATACTAACAACACCTGATAATGCGTTGTAAGTGTGACCAAAACTTCGTTTTGACCAACCTCCATCCACTATTACAGTTATGTCGGCTATTCCACTTTTATCTACATTACCTTTAGTTAGTGGTACTTGATATAGAACATGTTTTTACTCAGTGAAGGGATGTCTAAAACCCTTAGAAATTCTGCAGTGTGCTCTTAATTACTGCCAGTTGCAAGAGTTCCCCAAACGGCAGCCTTTTCCGTTAATGATGCCCTATCACATAGGTCTATTACCAATTCAGCTTTTTTTTGATAGTTTCGTTTTTTGAAATCTTTAGTTCGTGTAAAATATTACTGTTGAAGAATCCGACAATATCAGGCAAGGGAATGGACACTTCATTGCCGTGATTAACATTTGAATTATAAAACGTTGCTGCACAAGCATGTATGTGTTTACAAATGTTAAATTTTATTAGATTGTCAATGCAATGCAATACACTGAAATGTATGTACACATATGCCGCACTCAGCACATCTTAGACATGGACCTTCACAGTCTTCCTCTATCCTAATGACATGATATTGTTGAGAAGAATTAGTCAAAGTCAACACTTTTGTCCAACCTTTTTTACCTTTCTACCTTCCAAATACACGTACTTTAAGATTTTGATATTGTTGAGAAGAATTAGTCAAAGTCAACACTTTTGTCCAACCTTTTTACCTTTCTACCTTCCAAATACACGTACATTAAGATTTTGTGCAGCGATTCAAGATAACGTACATGTTTGTGTTTATTCCTAAACGCAATCGATAGCAATAGGCCAAACATTTTGGACGATTTGCATAATGACTATAGAAATATTCACCAAATGATGCTGTATCGCTGTTGGCATAAAGATCTTGTAGAAGTTGGGCCAGGCTGGCATTAAATTCATCAACAGACACACACTGCAATATTACCCGAAGAGCCTTATATACTAATGCTTTTTGTTCAGGTCCTCCACTATTTTTTGACAAATTCTTGCGCCAGTTGCGATCTACACGCCACGTACATAGTAGTTGGTTAGGTACTTTAGCCATAACACAAGACCATGCATTGTAAAAAACTGGAGCATCATCAGACATAAAAACATTTGATGTAATTACCCCTACTTTCATTTTAATTTGCTCAAAAAATAACTTGAAAATTGTTTCATAAGCTCGGTTTAAAAAGCAAAATGCAACCGGGCATCCTGAGCCAAATTCATCGATTCTCATTGAGGTATATAACTGGAAGTCGTAACTGTTCGTTCCATGTGTCCTATCAAGACAAACTTTATGATATCCAAATTCAAGTAATTGTTGACATTGGAATGCAGTCATGATAATTAATGCAAAGTCTGTAATATCAAGACTAGTTTTTGCATCATTTTCACCTTGCCCTTTATAATACAATACTGGACAATCGTCACCCAATTTTTTCATCTCCTCTACCCAGAGTTTTATGCTAATTGCATCATTTTGATGTGGTTTCGAACCGTAATCAATGTTAAAATCTCGTATGATATTAA